GCGACTTTTAGCACAGCCAATAGCTACTTTCCTTACTGAGGAGTTGGCAACACTGGTGGCGGCTGGAAGTAGATGTTAGCGTTTTTCAGGTCTGTGCTACAAACTGCAGGCAGCAGGATAATAAAAGCCAACATATTCTGCCGGCAGGTTTCTACATTTGAAGTTAATTTAGGCGTTAATAAACTGCTTCAGAGGAGTGATCATAGTGCTCTGCATCAGCAGTGCTGCGTCTGACTCCCTGCCAGCTCCCAGATCAGCTTCTCTGATTGGTTGATTGACTTTATTGATCTAACAGTGGAGAAGTATACTCGTTACATTGGCTCAACTAGTCAAAGGAGAAGAAGAAGGTGCCTGGGATGTATACATTATATTTGGGTATTTATATGGATGGACATTTATATATATGGTTATTGCACAGAGTATGAAATAGTAATTTCTCATTCTCCACTGCAGCAGTGATAGTGTCTCATTGTAGAGTCTGGTTGCAGCAGGGATGAATGACCTGCAGTAGCGCTGCTTTTTACTAACAGGCTGTAAAAGTCTTTGACTAAAGGAGCTGCTCAGCTCCTCTCCAGTCTGCTGCAGAGGGTGGAAGGTGGCGTCCATGATGGATGGAAGCTTGGACAGCACCCTTCTCTCAGCCACTGAGTCCAGAGTGCAGCCTAGGACAGAAACGGCCTTTCTCTGCAGTTTGTTCAGTCTCTTTCTGTCCCGCTCTGCACTGCCAGGGGCCCAGCAGACGACAGCGTAGAGGAGGGCTGATGCCTCCACAGTGTCGGAGAAGGTTTGAAGCAGGGGCCTGCTGACTGCAAAGGACCTCAACCTCCTCAGGAGTTAGGGGGAGGCGTCGCTGTTATCAGTCCCGTCTAGTTTATATTAATGACGTAAACACACAGGGATTTGAAACTATTCACAGTTTCTATGTCCTGCCCCTGGATGTTCAGAGTAAGGTGGGGGGCGTCTCCTTAAGTCCATCACCTTCTTCTTGGTTTTACTAGTATTAAGATACAGGTGGTTCTTCTCACATCAGTCCAAAAAGTTCATGATGACAGATCGATACTCCAGCTCCTCCCCCTCAGAAACACAGCCTACAATGGCCAAGTCATCGGAGAACTTTAGGAGATGGCAGCTGAGAATAAAAATAATCCTAGATTTCTTTTTAATACAGTTGCGAAACTCACCCAGAGCCATAGCTCTGTTGAACTGTCCATTCCACCTGCTCTTAGCAGGAATGATTTTATGGGATTCTTTATAAATAAGATTGATCTTATTAAAAATAAGATCATAAGCACTCCTCTATCCGCGATTGGTTTGTCTCTGGAGGGTGGGGCAGCATCTAAGGTAGTCATGGAATCTGAACCGGGTTTAGACTGCTTTGATCCAGTTGAACTTTCAGAGTTAGCAAAACTATTGTCTTCATCTTCATTTTTAAAAAAAGAACAACAACAAAAAGAAAACATTGGGACTGGTAGTCTAGTGGTTGGAATCCTGAGGTTCTGAGTTCGAGCCCCACTCCCACAGACTGCCACACTGGGTCTCTCTGAGTGAGACCCTTAATCCCACACTGCTCCCCGGGTGCCGCACAATGGCAGCCCACTGCTCTCCAAGGGGATGGGTTAAAATCAGAGGTAAATTTCTCCAATGTTAGATCAATAAAGTTAAATTATTATTATTATTATTATTATTATTATTATTATTATTATTATTATTATTATTATTATTATTATTATTATTATTATTATTATTATTA